TGAAGCTCAAGGAACTCCTCCTCAAACACCAAATGGGTTTTCCATGCCATCTCCTTCCTCCCAGGATCCTCTAAATTCTGCTCTATGGGTGCTAATTAGAGAATGTGTGATTGGCACAAGTTAAGTCACCTTTTCGCCTCCTATGGAGTGGCTGCCTGTAAACAAATCCATCTGAACATTTCTGTGTTGACAGGAATAGGGAACTTACGGCCCTTCAAGTCTGACAGACTCCAACTCCCATCAGCCCCATCAGAAAATCCAATTGGTCAGGGAAACTGCGAGCTGGAAGTCCAATACTACCAAGCAAGACTCAAGGTTGTTGTATGAATTTACAAAGCCCTGAACAACTCAGGTTCATAGTACCATTTCAGCTCAATCACCAAGATCATCTGCAGGGGCCTCCACTGGTCGTTTCCTGAGTTGGTGAGGCTCATTTGACAACAATGAGAAACTTTAGTGCCATTGGCCCAGTCCTGTGGAATACTCTGCCAACAGCGATTCAGCAAGCACCTTCTGTGCAAACTTTTGAATGCCTGTTGAAAGCTTTTCTATTCTACCAGGCCTATGCAGGCAATCAAGAATACATCCTTCCTCAATGGTTAATTGTTGTCTGTTTTTAACTTTTTAATATGGTATTATTGGACAGTTGTATGTTTTATTGCTGTAAACTGCTTTGATAATAGTCTACTTTTCAGAGGCCAATCCTCTAATTTTAAGGGTTGTAGTAAGAGGATATTTAAAGCAGTTTTGTATTTGATGGACCAAGTAGTTTAAAGACCAAGAACCACAGGTGGGGCCTTAAATTTACCCATCAACAGTTTGCACCGGGACAGCAGACTGAATGAGCACAAAGGTCAGTTTCCCCACTATAGTGAGATATATTACATTTCTACTTAAATTATAGTAACAAGGTACAAGTAAAAATGCAAATTCAGAAACAAACACACAAATTTTATGCAACCAAGTATCCTCTTTTTGGGGGGGGTATTCATGCATTTCTACTTTTTTGAACAATGCAAAAGAGACCACCCTCTTTATTACTGTGTTTGAGTTGGAAATAACTGGATGGTCTTTTTTATAACGCCTGAAGGATTCTGTCACTTTGATTTGTTTTGTCATCAATTAGCGATGCTGGATCTCTTTCTCTCCCTGTCTCACTCTCACTTTCAATAAACTGTGAAGTACATTCTGACTTGTCTCTAAAGGGATCACCCTTCTATTGTTTCATCTGCATTTATACCTCCTGCACTGGTGGGTGTGCCTCTGAGATACAGGTGTATTATTATTACCTGGACACTAATAACTATTATTTCAGGGCAAAGCAGCCCTTGTAGATCCATACATGTAATGCCAACAAATGCTTTAAATCAAGTACAGTGGTACCTCGGGTTACATACACTTCAGGTTACTGACTCCGCTAACCCAGAAATAGTGCTTCAGGTTAAGAACTTTGCTTCAGGATGAGAACAGAAATCGTGCTCCGGCAGCGCGGCAGCAGCAGGAGGCCCCATTAGCTAAAGTGGTGCTTCAGGTTAAGAACAGTTTCAGGTTATGAACGGACCTCCGGAACAAATTAAGTACTTAACCCGAGGTACCACTGTAATGCTAAAACAAATAGGTCTATAACAGAGCAGCCAGAACATTAAAAAAACAAAAACATATCTGGGCCACAAACCATCTGTGTAAATGGTTTATTGTGCTGTATATTCATTTTTTAAAAATGATTCTGTGCTCATTATGAGTTACAATCTAAATTACTTAGGGTGCTATGATATCCACCACTGGCCATACTCAGGGTATACCCCTGATATCAAGGAACTTAACTTGCTTACATCCGCTAATTTCAATGAGTCTACTCTGAGTTGGATGCAACCCTAAATCGATAAAAACAGAATTCAACGGATATACAGTGGTACTTTGGGTTATGAATTTAATTTGTTCTGGAGGTCCGTTCTTAACCCGAAACCATTCTTAACCTGAGGCACACTTTTGCTAATGGGGCCTCCTGCTGCCACCGTGCGATTTCCGTTCTCATCCTGGGTCAAAGTCCTCAACCCGAGGTACGACTTCCGGGTTAGCGGAGTTTGAAACTCAAAGCGTTTGTAACCCAGGGTACCACTGTACATACACTGTCCAACTCCCTACATACAATGTGATTGTCCATCTGTGACAGGCATTTAATTTTTTTCCCCAATATGGGAATCTCTCTCCCCACCAGTTGCACTCACCAACACACACGTGTGTGTGTGCGCACGCGCGCTCAGACAAAATGTCTGTGTGAAATATCTTACTCTTTTGTGAAAAATATATGCCACGTGTGGAATTCCATAGATGTGAGTGTTCTTTGTTTCACTGGGGTGCCCCGCAAAGTCTTGCTGAAGAAGTTCTTGCATGAGAAGCAGCACATCAGCATTCAGTTTCTTTGGGCTGCTTCATTAAGTGGTACCTATTATTGAGCAGTACTGAAGAACCTCTGCTACTCAGGCTCCAGCACCAGCAAAATATAAACTGATACGCAAGTGAGAATTTCATTACTGAGCTGCAGAGTAAGAGAGATGAAATAGCATGCAGTTGGACTGGATAGTTATTTGAATGAACCCTCAAAATCTGTTAATGGATAATGTACAAAGAGCTGACTTACTTCAGCAGTTTATCTTCGCCACACAATAATGAACTGAGATGCAGAAAAGCATGGAAGAACTTTGGTGGGAGCTGATGGATGTAACTATTTCCAACTGCCCTTTCCCACACTGAACCATCCACCAAAGAAATGACTACCACAGCTGCCCTTGTGAACGCATCTGGTTGCTGGACCGGCCCAGGTGCAAGACAATATGGTGCCAGCTTCCCCTACTCCATGGAGAAAACTTAAGCTGACTTGGGCCACATTAATACTGTACCATGCACTTAGAGCACTTTGATTCCACTTTAAACAGCCACAGCTTCCCTCAAAAGAATTATGTGAGCTGTATTTCATTAAGAGTACAAAGCATTGTTAGAAGACCCCTATATACCTCACTGAGCTAGAGCTCCCAGAATTCTTTGAGGGAAGCCAGACCATGATTATCTGAAGTGGTATCACAGAGCTTTGAATGTATGGTGAGCACAAGCAAGATTCCACAATGGTAATGAGACAAAGCCCTCTACACCTGAGGGCATTAAGCTAGCTTAGGAGGCACAGGTTCCTCCTGTCCTACCCTCCCAGACCTGTCTTGGTATGGGGCTCCCCCATCACATCCTGTTTTTGTTTTGGGGAGAGAGCTGCCCATACTTCCACTGAAATAGAAATGCTGGATGCCTTAAAAGTCAACCTGACCTATAATTCTCAAATTTCTTCTTAGTGTTTAAAATGGCAATCAGATTCTGAACATTACGAAACCAAAAAACTCTCCAAAGTGCCTCTCCAAGTCAAGATCTACTTTGTTTTCAATGGTAGCTGCAACAATAGCATGAATACCACAAATGCATCCACAAAAGAACAACATAATTGCCTCTACAAATAAAATTACTCCTCTATATTGCAGTCAACAAAATGTTCTCCTCGATGGCTTGTCCTAAAAGCTATCCTAGAAAGGCAAGGTAGAAATAAAATAAATAAATAAATAAATAAATAAAGTATGGGACAAAGCAAAATTAAGCACTCTGGAATCCCATTTAGTTTCAGCGGTAGTGAGAGTTAAGTAAATCAGTGGGAGTTGATGCCTCAGTTTCAGCACAAAGGTGAATATTTTGTTGTCTTGTTATGGCTATCTCTGATATTGTTTAAAGTACAAATTAAACAAAAACTTACAGGAAGAAAAACAAATCCTTCCACTCCCTACCACCAGGCAAGTATAAAATCACCATATTAAAAATGATCATACCATACCTTTCAGCAAAGTCTGGACATGAAAAAGGGTTGTTATTCTCACCACTGACCTCTAAATTTTTTCTTTAACCTAAGCAGAATGCAGAGCTATCCAGCAGGGGGAAGATGTTTAAAGCATTTTGGCAAGACAATAATGTGCATCCCACATGCCCATCTGGATTTCAATGACATTGGGGGTGACGACGCAGTCAACTTTTATCATCATCAACAGTGAATTCCATAATTAATCATTAAACAATAACCTCAATGAGCATAAGCCTAGCTACGTCTACAAAGGCATGTCAACCTATTTTTCTATTTGCTTGATAATGTCCCAAAACAGTTCTCTCATTCATTCTAGAGAGGTCATGATAGTCTCTTTAGATATACTAGTCTTTTTGGGCCAAAACCATCAGATAATCTTGTGGCAACTTGAATGATTAACAGATTTACAGAACAATTGTGTACATGACCACTCAGAAGTAAGTCACACTGAATTGCTGGTTGGAGCTGGCTGCAGGTGCAGTCGAAAACATCTGGTGCATATCAGATTGGCAAAGACTGGTATCAAAGATAAACTGAGCAACTGGTGGTGTGATCACCTTCCTAGTTTTGTCATGCTGATTGACTGATGTATCCTACAAGGCAAAAAAAATCTTCAGATGCAGAGCTGGCCCAAACCACTCAGATGTGTACCGTTTGTTGAGCAGACACTTATGTTGTAATTTTTCCTGGAAATAATGACAGTGAATGTCAACGCAACATGGGTCATGCTGGTCAGTGGTGCCAGCATTATAAGAGAAAATCAATTGTTTGTATATTTACTTTAGCTCATTAGTAGATAGTCTAAGGCAGACACTCTAAATTCACTGAGGATAAGACTATCAACAGCTATAAGCAACAATGATTATGCGGAAGCCCAGAGCACAAGAGTCTGCAGGAATTTTTCTGGGTGGGCAGGCACAGTAAACCACTGAGAGGAGGGGACCAGGGTAGCTTCTCACACACAAAAATTGAAATAAATAGTGCCTGTGAATTTTGCCTCATATCTCAGGTTCTACAAATGCTAGAAATATTTAAAATACTCTTTAAAAAAGGGAAAGGAAAGCTGGTGAATCTGAGTTTTATGGCTCACTGAGTGAGGATTCCCTACCTATGCTCATCATGGATGGTGATTTCTTAGAGGCAATATGTCACTGAATGCCATTTTCTGAGAAGCAAAGATGGAAGAGGTCATGATTGCTTGCGGTCTTTCCAGAGATATCTGAATGGAAAACAGGACTATTAACTGACTGGTCCCTTTTATGTTCTGAAACCCTCTCCCAGCTCAGTACTCTGGGCAACTGCCTGGGCCACCCACCCCTAACTTTGAAACCCCTTGAAATAATCCAATTCTGAAACCTAGTGTGAATTGCGTTTTTGCTGCACACGGAAGCTGGAACTCAAGGCATGTTGATGCAAGAGAAAGTTGATGGGAGGGGGCACAGGGAGAGGGAGGGCAGAGAGTCGCTTACCACATACTCTCCCTGTTGAGTTCTGTGTAACTGCCCATGTTGCTATTGCTGGCAAAGCAACTGCCTGCTGTTTTCTGACCTTTTGCTCTTCTAGAGATAGAAATGGGAATTGTCTGAGACGTGGAATAACTTCCTGCAATTGTGTTAGCAAGGGCTGGTCTGACTTGATAGATAGCTGTGTCTGTTAGGCCTGCTTTTGAGAGGAGAAACTACTTGTTGGGTGACTAATTGGAAAGAAACATTAGGTGGCCCGCAGGAGGGCAAAATGTATAAAAGAGAAGCCTGCTGATAAAAGTTGTGCAAGGAAGGGGTGGTCTCCACTACAGCCCACTTCTGTAATTCACCCAAGATATGGGAGGGGGGAAACCTTGGCTGTGTGTACACAGTCTGACACTGAAGTTCTGAATTTAGAGACTGTAAATCATTTTTCTTGGATTCTTTTTTGGCTGTTTCCTAGCAGACCTAAAAGAGATTGTTCTTTTAAAAACATAGGGTAAAAGAGAATACAAGAGAACAAATCATGAGAATGATTTCTTCCCAAGAGCACCATCACTGTCATTTTAAAAACAACTCTGCTGGACAGTGGATACAGACACCACTTTAGTACATGATGGGTGTTTTGTAAATGCTATAGTTTGAGTGCCCACGCTACATTCTCTGAGGAGATAGGCCCTAAGTGTCTGGGGGGAGGGGTCCTGTGTGTGATCCAGACAAAGAGTTTAGGAGAGGGTGATTCTGAAAGAGAGAGTTTGGGGTTGATCCTTGCAGAGAGAGGGGAAAAATAGTTTTGGAGGTGATCCTGAGAAATATTTTGATTCTGAGAAAGGGGACAAGGCAGCAATTTTATGAAAGGCTGCTCCCGACGGCAGCCATTTTGTGGCGGTGCCCACATCACTTTTTCGGAATTCCAAATGTACCCACAGACCCCAGAAGGTTGGGAGCCCCTGCTACAGCCCCTGTATGGCTATGTGGTGGGCATATTTTATCCCAACCATGCTAACGCCACAATTTCCAGTTCCTCTTGAAACATGGTAAAAGTCACTGTTTTATGCAGCTGAAGAATGCCCATGATAACATCTCTTCCAGTGAATGGCGATACATTGTGGTGAGTGTGAAAGTGGCCTCCTCATGGTAGATGGTCCTCTAAGTTGCATCACTATCTTCAATACTTCAGAAGAACAATCACATATATGCACACTAATTTTTGACAGGAAGAATTTTAGTAAGAAATAAAATTACAAAAAGGTGAACATGAGAAATGATGTGCAGGACACAAAAAGAAGCAGAGATGCTTCCTTTACATCCTATTGCTTACATGTATTTATGTATTTTTCACCACTTTTAAGTATTTTGCATATCCAATCTAGCTGAGCGGGCTACTTTCAAAAGAGTTTGTTATTATGACATATTAGAATTCTATGAATGAACCAAAAGGACTGTTCTGTATTATCCTTTCTTACCTCTCCCCAAAGTCACTTTTACTTACGCACAGTCACACACTGTTGCTTGAGGTATTCCAAGTTTATCTGCCATAGGGCACTTCTGCACCCTTTCAGAGTGTGCACCTCTATAAATGAAATGAAACCACGTTTTGCCATTGGTTTGCTGTGCAAAACAGGGCCAGTAAAGGGTGTAGCCTGGGGAAGGTTCAGGGGTGCCCTGGGCCTCATGTTCCCCACAGCATTCTGTAAATGTCAGAACCACCAGCGGGGCTTCCCCACAGAGCTCAAGGCCCTGGGTGCTAAATAACGGGTGACTGTACATGATGATTGATCCCATGAAGGTTAAATAATGACTCACAACCCTCTGTAGTCTCAGCTCACAGCTCAAAAAGATTTTCCAGGAGGTTTTTAACCCTGAACTTGACATGTGTCAGAAACAGGCAGAAGTCCTCACAAGATGGAACACACCCAAACAGCCAACTCATGGTGATTTCACCACAACACCACCATATCAATGCAGCAGTCCCATTTTCAGTGCCACCCATAAAACAGAGGATTCCTTCACTGAATAATACAGGGTGCTACACTAGTGTTCTTTGTAACATCAGAGGTAAACAGCAACACCAACGCAACCAGCACAGCAGCCGCCCTCAGAGAGGAACAGACTTTATAAACAAGTAATAGCAAATCAAGTGCTCGTTTTGTATAACTAAATCAACAGAAAAAAGGAAGTAAACAAAGAGGTACTCTGAGTAAAGAGCACAACTCAAGAGAGTATTTGGATCATTAACCTTTAAAGCAGTTAGTGGCATTTAACAGAGCCTGCTAGCGCAGGTTTCAGTTCTTTAAAAAGAACATTACAAATTATGCAGCTAAATGCCCACCTACAACTCTAGATTGAAGCTGCTCCATTTCGACAAAAGAAATTCTCCTTCAGGATCAAGGTGACTTTTTAACTAAAGTGTTTGGGCAGGCTTTTTTTTAATTATTATTTGAGCCGTACTACAAATTCACAACATCCTGATTCAGATTAACTAATATTGATGACAACTCACAGTCACCGAAGAGGCCATATATCTTAGGCCCATCTAGTTCAGTATGGTTTATATCTGTCTTCTCCAACCTGGGGTCCCCCAATTTTGTTACAGTACAACTCCCAGCATCCTTGACAATTGGCTATACTGATGGAAACTGTAGTCCAAAATATTTGAAGGGCACCAGTTTGGCCTAGAGAAAGAAATCAAACAAATGGGCAGTAATGAAGGGGGTGTGGAGAAGTGGGCCCAGTCAGATGCAAGCATCTTATTTTTTATGTTTGCCAACAATTAATTCTCTATCTGCTAGCTGCCTCTTATTTAGTGATCTCTCAAGGATAGAATGGTGTATCTTGTTAATCTGTGGATTTATTGTTTTAAAAAGTCATTTTTTTGCCATTTTTGAAAACTGATACCAGGGGCCAAGGGCAATGCAGACCCCTCCGACTTTGCTTGAGTTTGGGGGTTGTTTGTGATTTATATGACCAAACCAATCACATGGTTGGCACATTCCTACTAAATATGATTTTATTTGGCAACATTTGTGATTACTTGATATGTTTTGTACACCATGGAATATATTTTACGCTATTCATTCTTTTTAAACCCTTAAAAAATAATATGGTTATTTTATTATCTTGGTTTTTTCTCCTCTTGTCTGTTTGAGTATTTTAAGTTGGATATTTTGTTTGTAGCATTTGCAAACCTTTTTTTTTTTAGTTATGTTTTAGCAGTGTGCACTGCCCTGGTACTTTCAGATATGGTGGTAAAGTACTTTAAAGTATTTTAGTAAACAACTAAAATGAATAAATAAACACCAATATTTTATTCCCCCCAAAAAATTGTTTAGAAATTCTAATAATCAGGAACCATGAAGAAACAGCTCAGCAACAAAATATCACCATATTTCTCTTTAATTTTCTCTCTCTCTTGTTTCAGTTAACAGGCCTTTTTTCAGTCCCCTTTTGTGAACCAAGATTTGCAAATTACAATGCTGCTTCCCACAAGACCATACATTAACCCTGATCTTCATAATTTCTATTTGCGACCTTACCTGCTATTAATATTTTCTTTCTAACTGAAATGTACTTTGGGAGGGGTTTCATTGTATTATTCACCATTATATAAGAAACCAAGTTACTCCAAACAGTGGTGAACGATTCTGATTTAGTTGGCCTTTGATGACACCAATGTGATGATGACTAAGCTTCTCTGCAATTGCTATCTACCAGCAATCTATGGACAACACGACCTTTTGCAATTATGTGTCGCAAGTCTAGCTGCAACCAGCGAGAAACACACAGTGTCTTTTGGTCTCACACGTGTGCTATCCTCTTCAAAACAGAAAGCAATCATCGTTTTGGAGTTCGCACAATCATTTGTCCTATCATAGACAATTCTCACAGCATTCTAATCTAGACCCTCTACACCTGCAGACATTCCACAACAAAAGATGCATACAAGTCTCCTGGATTAAAACCTCAGATTTCTGAGCAACAATTTGCTTCTTAAAAGAAAAGCTTCAAAGCCTAATCCTCACACAAAAAATTCCCCTGCCCAAGGCCAGCATGCTTTCCAAATAGGCAGCTGAGGCAGACTGAAATCTGTCATCCAGTTTCAGACGGCGGCTTGCTGGGGGTGTGTGTACTTATTTCACTGAACGATTGGCAAAAAAAGGATCTTTGAGGTAAAGTCAAATTGTATGCATGTTAATCACAGGTCCACAGTGACCTCCTAGCTCCTTCATAAGCTGTTGCCATTTTGAAATTGGTCCAGAAGGCCACTTATAGTTGAGGGAAAGTCCGCAGAGCTGTTGTTTATCCACAGTCATTTTATTGCGGTTCAAATCTGAGCCCCATATGCATTATATACCTAAAGCAGCATTATACCACTTTAAATGGCCATGGTGTTAATCTAAGATTTAAGAGTCCTGGGCTGTAGTTTGTTAAGGGTTTTGAAAGACCCCTATTCCCCTCACAGAGCTACAATTCCCACAGCTCTCTGGGAAGACAAGACTCACTGCTAAACCATTCTGGAAATTGTAGCTCTGTGAGGGATGGTCTCTAAAACAACTCTAATCACCCTCAACAAACTATGGTTCCTAGAACTCTCTGGGCAAGTCACGACTGTTTCAAGTCATATAATTGTGCTTTAAATGTATAGTGCATATGGCCCCCTGGCTTTTCTGCAAAACCAGCCATACATTTAGCAATTGTAGACACATTCAAGCGTAAAGTGACTTAAGAGGTAAAAATCTGGAGAAAGCAGGCTAGCATATTTTCAGAGCAGGTCAGAGGCTTATCTTCATACCTCCACCTCTGGTATAGATTCTGCTTTCTCCCACCCACCTCAGCTTACCTGATCCTCCTACTGGTGTCATGTGAGTCCTTGTCTTACCATATCTGTGCCTCTGTCTCCTCCAAGACACAGATCTCCCAGTACCTAACAAGGAGGTTAGGTAACTGACATCTAAAGATTAAAGATACACTCTGGAGCCTTATCAATGCCATCTTTCCACTGCTATCACAGCCACCGTGGTTATGACTCATGTCTAGAGTCGCCAGCTATTAACACTTTGCTCTATCTAGCTATTTCTGGAATTGAGGGGCCCAAATGAGAAAGGCAGCATATTTCTGCCAGTGTAACTATAGAAATCACATCAACAAACAACAGCAAGCTGGTCTTGAGGGTCAAGGAAATAACAAGCTTGAAATAGCTAGTTGTTTAAAAAAAGAAAAGAAAATACCCCTCATTGCATTAATGATACGAGGAAGAGAAAAATCCCACAATAATATCAGGTACAAGGAACATGGCTGTACTATGTAAAACATGCAATAAGTGTGGTCAGTGTATCTGGTCAATAATCAACACCCCCCTGCCCCCCCAAGCCTCAGATTCCATAACCAGGAATATTTTTCCTTTCATCCTGCTCCTCTTGGAACAAATTGGAGTTAATAATATGCAAGAGGCACCAATGTTTGTAACCTGCTTTAAAAAACAAAAGAAGACTAATATGCTCTGCATGTGCTATTATTCTAACCCGAGGCTAAATCCTTGTATTAACAAGAAACATGGTGCTACTTCAGATATAAGCCCTTACTTATATAGTATTAATTGTTAGGATTATTCTATGTACTTAGGGATTATTTGAGTAAGTGGTTTATAACATTTCTTAATGAAACAATTAAAACAAAACACTGTGGTAAGTGGCAAAAATGTCCCATTTTCAAAATTTGTATTAATCACATCATTTTCAAATATGGAAAATGATGTGATTTCAATGTTCTATCTGTTGTGGAAATGCTGTAACAATTTTCATAGCCTGGACACTGAGCGAGACCGAAGCATTACTGTACATGTTTTACACGTATAGTCAATTATTTTGACTACAGATGGGAAATCTTTTGCCCTCCAGATCTTTCTGGAATACAACTCCCATCGTCTTTGGCCAATGACCACGCTGGCTGGGGCTGATAGATATTGGGGTTTAACAACATCTGGCAGACCAAAGGTTCCTCACCCCATGTTTAGAGCCTTTCAGTATCATATGCGATATAGAAATAAAAAAAGAAATATTTATTTCTGCTTACTCACACAAGGACTTGCCAAGAGAACATTTATCCACACATTCATACATAGAAACAACATTCAGCTACTTTGAAAAATCCCTCCTGTTGCTTTCTGTAAATTTGCTACCCGGCATAAATAAATAAAGTATATAATAGAACAGAACAGAATGCTAAGAGTTAAAACAAACCCTCTCATTAATTACAGAGCATAAGTATCTGGAATAAAGCCCCAATAAGCTGTTTCTTTTTTAAAGCAAAAAAAGATACATAGGTCTGTGGAGAGTTTTGGTATGTAATAGCTTTCTGCTAAGAAACTTGCTATTCTGAAGCTTACTGCAGAATATTTTAAAGTATATTTACCTAGGTTTTGTGGGTGTTCTTTTTAGTTTTTCACAGGGTTGTGTAAAACAATATATATCAGTTCTCAGCTCCTCCCTAAATTTGCCACTGTTATATCTGATAGGCTTTATTTGAGGGAGGCAGAAATTCAATAGGAAAAGCTTTCTTTCACACTTCCACATCTGAGAAAGACCTTTGCCTCTTGAATTTGTCTTACACGCAAAGGATTGAAGGGAAAGAAATTGAAATTCTTTGAACTCTGTTCAAAGTGACTCCAGCTGAGATGTGATAGGCCCGTTGCCTTGGACCCTCCCAACAGCCCTTGCCTCAGGATGCAGGCACGTCAACAAGCACTTCTTGGAACCGTTAGTACAGACTTCCATGGAAGTGCTTTTGCTGTAACAATTGATAAAATGATGCTGAAAGGGGTGGGGGGTGTTGTTGCTTCCTCGGAACTCCTCCTTCAGAAGCCAATACTTCCAAATAATTTACTCTTAAAATTGCTGTCTCACTCAGCTCCCTCTGAACTTTTCTTCTTTCTCTACATCTGCATAGGCTGCATTACGTTGCTACAGAAACTCTTAAAAGAGTTCCCTTCTGGACACAATGATGACTGCAGAAAATGGAATATATATATATATATATATATATATATATATATATATACACACATCATAGCCTATTTGTTTAAACAAACCAAGCACAAAGCATTACTGGATTTTGTACTTATCAGAACTGAACACTGGAGAAGGGTGTCAACTCAAACATAGGTCGTAGGAAGATCTCTCCAGCCACAGCTGGGAAAGATTCCTGTCTCAAACTCTGGACAGCCACTGCCAGGAAGTGCTGACAATACTGGGCTAGATGGGCCAATGGTGTGACTTGGTATGGAGCAGTTTCTTAATGTTCCTAGAAATA